ACATTTGTATTTGATCATTGATAGGAATACATTTGTCAACGCTGCCGTTTCGCGGGTGGCAAAGGGTTAATCGAATCGAGTAATCCCGCCCGATTGAGTCAATTCAAAAGGGCGGGAGAGGGGGGGGCGATTCTCTCGCGCTCTTAACGAAGGGCTCGTAGAAGCGAGAGCTCGAGAGACCCTTCCTCGGCACTCGATAATTCAACGAGCGAGCGATATCCGCTCGTATTCTTACTTGAAAATCAATAACGAAACTACGGCGGGCCTTCTTCGTCATCGGAGCTACTGTGCAAGGCACGTATCCCCGTGAGCTTCTTTTTTTTTATCGGGGGTGTATGAGGGCAGGCGGGGGGGAGGAGGGGGCTTGGAGGAGAGGCAATTGAAGCGGAGGAAGTGCACAAATCCTTTCTTCGGTCGCGGTCCGTAAAACACTGTCCGACCGGCGTAGAATAGGCAGGAACCTGACTGTGAATTCAATGTAACTTCGCCGGAAGTACGAAGCTTCGTCCCCCTCACCCCCTCTTCCTTCCGCACCGTCTGCTCCGAATTTCTTTCGGCTCCTTTCTTTTTCCAATCCGCGGCCACCGGGCAAATCCTTTATTGGACCTAATACCTAATTGGTGAGAACGACGGAATGATAAAAGATGTGATAGAGCGATTGAGTGTCTCGTTTTATATATAGCATGTATATGTGTATGGTATTTAGTATGAAAGAAAAGTAATAGAAAGAGGAAGGGATTCACCGCTTTCAGATTTTTTTTTTTTTTTTTTTTTTCAATCCCTGAAGAGAAGAATTTACATCAATCTCGAAAGAGAAAACCTGCTGCTGCTGAAAAGTTTCATTAAGCGAGAAGAATGAGGATAAGATCCCGTTTTACAATCTCGTCTTTCTCGCACGAAAGTCGTTCGCGATTAAAACACAAGAAAATCTTTATTACCGCGATTTTCCTTCTTATTATCCGATACTAAATTTAACGAGAACAGATTTAATTGAGATCGTCTTTTCGTCAAAGAGTTGCGGAATTAACCCAAGTCTTAATCCTAAGATTCTCGGGGTTCTCATAACGAGCTATTAGATTAATAAGCTGGATTTCGGAGCAGCTTTGAGCGGATTAAAAAATTATTTTCTCAGAAATATATATAAATATATATTTATGAAAAAATAGTTTATACATATATATATATATATGAAATTTTATATATATATTTGTGTGTGTCTGTGAGATACATATTTTTACAAAATACAAAAATCAGAATATTCATAAATATAGAGATATTATATATTGGGTTTAATTATATAATATATAATTTTCTACCAATAGGTTTTAATGCAAATTTGAAGTTAATGATGCAATCTATAAAATAATTATAAAACATCTCTTTACTCACCTTCATCGATATGTTCGTTCCAGCAAAGCCGCGAAACCGTCATTCATGCTTAAATTCTATTCATTTCGCCTTGATTAATCAATTATGTATTTAATTGCTTATATAATATAACGCGTTTACCTAAACTATGTATGCAATAAGCTATCGATGGTAATTATTAAAGTAATATTCATATTAAAAGCGCACACGTGCACGACAGGGATACACATACACACACACGCACCAAATACCACACACAAAAAATTTATGCACGTGCAAATCATTTTGTATAATTATTTATACAAGTTATATTATACAAATCTAAATATTTTTGCAAGATTTAATTAAAAGTATTTTAATATGTATTGTATAGAAATTATATAAAGAGATTAGTAATATTTAATTAATAAAATATTAATGTTTTATGAAGATTTAAAAGTTTAATGACTCAAAAAATTAAAAAGTTCAGAGAATTAAAATTTAAAAATTCTTAAAGAGCAAACAATTTATTTAAACTTCTAAAATTAGTTTATTTGAGCGTTGAGGAATATTAAGCTTGTACCTTGATCGAATAATTCAAGGATTTAAAATTTAACCACGGATCGAAAGTTTTTCAATTATATAATAACTAGAATCTGTGTTCAATTTATCAAGCGAATCATCAATGATTGCACACATCACGTAAAATTAACACGATCGTTGCGGTCAAATAAAGCCAGCCTTAAAAATTATTTCCTTTTAAGGCTAAAAACCTTTTTTTCGGCAAAACTTTATTTTTCCTTTAATTATCCTCATATTAATATTTTTTAATTATAATCATATAATATAATACAAT